ATTAGCAGCCTCAGACAGAACTAATATGGAATAAGCCTTTCCACCCTCTCTCTGTCCCCAAACAAAAGGATGAAGCTGATGGCTCTACTCTACCCTCAGGGACAGTCCAGGCAATGCCGACCCCTCCCAGCCCAGCTGGACACTCGGTCCCTCTGGGACGCTCCCCTGGCCGCCATCTGTGTCTCCTTGGGCCAAAGCCACCCAAGTGTTCTATGGCCTGAGCCGATGACAAAGTGAAACAAGGGGAAGACCCTCCTTCCGTGAATTCTATGGGAAGGTCTCAATAAGTAAGCCCCAACTGGTTTAGGGTCTAAATGAATCTGCCAGGGCTTTTGAGGGGGGTGGCCTGGCCAGATTCTCCCCAATGCATTTCAGAGGACGGAATCGAGAGAGCTGTGTGGGTCCACCACAGGAATGAAATGGCGCGGTCCGAGCTGTTCTGCGAAGACAGACATCCCCAAACGCCACCTCATCAAACAGAGGAATGCTCTTTAGTGTCGTCAAGCAGTCCCCCCCGCACATTGTGGGGGTGCACAGGAGCAGTGTACACTGTGGATGTGTAGTGAGCATGCCGGTTTCCTAAGACAGAGTCCCCCTGTCCCACTGCCTTCAGGAGAGTCAGTGGAGAGGTCCCCTCCCACACGGCGAGGACCTCTGGAATGTCCTTCTTCACAGACACGTGCAAGGGGCCAGCAGGAACACGCCCCCCACCCCCGCCCCAGGCTCACGGGCGGCCTGCTCCGTGCGGGGGACCAGCTGGGCTGCCCACTGCCTTCCACGCCCCTGCCTGACTGCCTAAGCCCCCGAGCCAGGAGGAGCTGTTCAGACTCTGATTCTCTCAATTACATGCAGAAACATGGTGAAAATGACAACATAAGTAATGGTATTTACATTTTCGGAGCCAGAGTGAAATTTTGTCATCACCGCAAACATTTCTCCAAGCCCCAGACTTCACTGCTGAAAGCCCCGCTCTGAGGAATGACTCAGGAAGCCAAGTTCCCCGAGGAGGAAGCGGAGAAGGCGTCTACGTCAGTTTTCCCGGCACAGGCTGGGCTGCTGCGACGCCAGAGGCTGAAACGTAACAGAGCTGCTCCACCCAGAGCTCAGGGTGAGCTGGGTTCTCAGGCCTTTTACCTGTAGGTGTGACCAGAGCTGCTGGCATGGACGGGTTCAACCGTCTGGACCCTCAGCACCCCCAGCCCAGCCACCAGGCCTCAGCCAAGTCAACAAGAGCAGCCATTAAACGCATTTGCCTTGGACCAGGTCTGGTAACAGAAACCAGTGCCTGGAAGGTCTGAAGGATGCCTCCTCGCTCTGCAGTGCAACACGGAAGGTCAGAGGCAACGGTCTCATTAGAGGCCTCTTCCTGCTTCCTTCCCTGCCTAGATTCTCAGAAGCCGCATCCGAGAAACTCGAACTCACCCGGGTGCAAGAAGCAGGAGAGCTTATATCACAACGCCAAAATTTCCTCCAGCTCTGCTGTGCTTGCCACACTAAAAATCAAGGGACCCTTGCGAAGGTCCCTCAGGGTGGCTATGTGAGCTCCATTGCTGTGAACTCAGAACAGCTCTGTGATTACGCTACACGCCAGCAGGACGCGGCCCTGTGTCTCCGCACCCCCAGCCCGTCGGCTTGCTGCTGGTCTGTCTTCTCATCCGCACAGCGACTCATGCCTTACGCTCCCAGACGCTCCATCCTGCTCACACACACGCAGGTTTTTGTAGAGGTAGAGCCTATTCAGCCGAGTGAGGCTCCTCTCAGCAGTCACCCTCCCTGACCAGCCTCCGTGACGTGCGCCCACTCAGAAAAGCTCCCCCTGGACTCCCCGAGACTCCCAAGTCAGCTGTGTGGTCCTCTGCTTCATCAGCCATTCATCCTGGTTGGTGACTGTCTTAAGAGGACCGTCTCTGAGCCCCAGTGTTCAGGATGTCAGCCTAAAGAAAACATTCGATTTACAATAAAAATTTCCATAAATCTGGTCCCCGGCCAGCGTTCCTCATGTAACAGGCTGGCCCCATCGCCACGCGTCACTCCAGCCAGAGACTGGCCTGGCTGCCACCCAACCTGTCACAAAGCTCTCCCCTTTTCTGCTCCTTCCTGCCCCCTAGTTTGGGGGCTCATCGCTTCTCACCTGGACCATCTCACGGGCCTCCCACCTGCTCTTTTGAACAAAAATCTCACCTCCACTCCACTTGCTGTGACAAAGCTCTGGTCACATCACTCCCTTGCTTAACACTGTCCCTTAGCTGGATCGGCCCTGGGGCAGGTCTTCCCACCCAGTGCCACAGCCCACTGGGGGTGGTGTGGGGACCGGGTGCCAGGGGTTGGCATCCCTTCCACCCTTGGAGCACTTGGACAGGACCTGAGGTGTCCCCAGAGGTCCTACTGCAAACAGCCCGGCTGACCGACCCCAGCTCCCAGACGAATGTCATTTTCTGAGCGCGCTATGACATACGGCACTTTGGCCACCATTTCCCTAGAGAACAAAACCCTGCCTGGAACACCCTTCCCACTTTGCCGAGCCAAGCTCACTCGGAAGTGTCCCTTCAGGCCGATGGAGATCTGCCATCCTTCTGCCTGACACTGGTCACTTCAACACTGGATTCATCTGAAAGGGATCCATGGTGAGGGCGAAGCTCATGCAGTTGTTTGCTGCCGTTCCACCAGGTTCGTCAAATCCAATGGAAGGTAACGCGACTCTAAAGCCTGAAAGCTCCCTGCAAAGGGCTAGGTGTCCGGTTCTTCATTTCAGGTCGGCATGATCACCAGCATCCCTTCCTTTTCCCAGCGTCTCCATTCATTCTCGGCCACTCCAACACTGTCAGTTTTCAGAATGAATATCCTGGATCCTGCCAAGGCTGGTTTGCCAGGATTTAGAATCAGAGACGATTCTTGCCTGCTCCTGAGGGTGATGTTTGCAGGAGACAGCTAATTAAAATATCCTGGTGCCTGTCCCCCCAGGTGTCCTCTCGCACATGGAGAGCTTTCCCGCTCACATCCGTGAGGCCTGTCAGATCCGGGGAACGGGAGTGACGGAGAAAGCAGCAAAGTGAACAAAAGCCCAACAAGCAGACGCTCCACACAGAGCTGTGGCACCGTGTGTCTTGGCTTGATTGTATTTATGCCGGAAAAACGGGCTGACTCCCTATCGGGTTATTTTTCCTAATGAGGGTAATGTATTCCTGGGTGTTTGCAACATTATCCTCTACGCCTTTTTCTCTGTCCGAAATATTTCAGAATAACAAAGAGTTTCCCGGTCAAAACGGTTTATCCACATGCAATGAAACCTGGGGGACGGGTCCTTCTGGGTCCTTCTCATTTTGCTGGGAGGCGCCTTTCACGGCCTGGTGGCCAGACGCTCGGGAAACTCCCAGCGAGTTCACAGGGAGAGACCTTCGACCTGAAGAGCTGGTGATTCTCAATGCGCCCCCCTTTGAGTAAACAACTGCTCTGGTCAGTGCCAAGGATTCATGTGCTTCCTACTCTCGGGACCTTCACGCATTCCTATTTTCACAGGGAGAGGGGAGAACTCTCCCTGAGCACCTTGTGTCATGAGAATCTCCATAGTTCTCCATCACGGGCAGTTTTCCCTCGTCAAGTGCAATATTCATAGCGAAGGGCATAATCAACATAGGGCTCTGACGCCCGCAGACAGAGCAACGTGAACCCATCTATTAATGCTGTAGATCTCATGGAACCTGGGTCATGTACATTAATGAAAGAAATTGAACGCTGTCGTTTTGAGCCCTCTAACTCTGAGGGAGCTGGGCTTTGAGAACCCGTGAAAACATCTCATGTGAACCATGTGGGGCCCCATCACGGAAGCACTTGGTTCATCTCCATTACCATCAACCGCCGGACAGAAATCACTGCTCGACTAGAGCCTGCGGCTACCCCGGCCGGGCAGGGCGCTGATGTTCCCACCTCCCTCACCAGGCAGCTGTTGGGATTCCTGGGCCCACGTCACCCTCCCTCTGTCCTCCCTCTTTCTTCCTTCTAGGACCAGGAGCGAGAAAAATGTTCAAAGTTTAAACTAAACCCCAGAGACAGTGTGCCCCACCAACTTGTAATCAAGCCACCCAAATTCACGAGACAGATCCCTGACAAAGAGCCTCGGTCCTGCGCCCCCACGGGCGGCCAAGGCGGACGGCACCGGCAGAGAGGATATTCCGTCCTTCTGGGTGCAGGTGCTCCGTCCTGGACGGGTCATGGGCAGCGAGTAACCGCCCACAAATTCCCTCTTCTGCACCACTTTTCTTCCATGTCCTTCTTTCATAAAGAGCGAACTAAAAAGGAATTCAAAGATAATCTAAAGAAATAAAAATAAAGAAAAAAAAACAGGATGGGTCAACCGATTGGCCCCATTCCTCCTCTCGGTTCAGTGTGGGGGGTAAGCGGGATGCCGAGTGCGGATCTCTGGGCGCGTGATCTCCCTGGCGGCGGGGTGTCCAGATCGCTGAGCCTTAGCCCCGCCCATACGCCGCCTTCTTGTGTCACCAACAAGCGTGAGTGTGGTCCCAGATCCTTAATCACTACGAACAAGGTCACAAACTGCACCTGGAGCGAGTCTCCTAAATCAAAGCTCCCCTTCCACGCGTGGCACTGGAGCGATGGCCCGCGGCGTCTAGGACCCACGCGCAGTGACCACCAACGGCCACACTCCCCGGCTCCTCAGCCGGTCGCTGTGACACTGACAGCTTTATTCGGTTTATCAGCCCCCCAGACGTGTCCCAGTAAAAAATCCAAGTCCACCCTTGAGCTGTCATGAATGTAGGATGAATATTGTTAAGGACACGCAACTGTCTTAAGTGATGGCGATACGCTGGCTCTCGAAAATTTGGGATTTTGCTGCTGTCTATTAATAGCGCTCTTTACAAAGGATCGTGAGAATATAAAATCTGTCTAAACAGGGCTGGTCAAGATGGATGAACCCGAAGCCGGTAGAGCTTGTGTATAAAGCACGACACAGCACATCCTGAAACAGATAATGCCTGGTTTTAGGTCTTAAGCCCTTTATTTACTTCACTGCAGAACATTTTATTTTTAGACACTGGTGGGTTCTGTGCTGTTGACATTTTCACTCCTTCGGCTGAAAACAGGTCAGGGAAATCACATGGTGACTAGTCGTAACCTACGAGGACGTCAGAGCAAGTACACGGACCATTCTTTGTTAGGACTAATAAATCAGCTGGTCAGGGAGGGTCTTCTTTCCGTCCAATAATTACGACGTACAGACAGTCACCAAGTAGCACTGACCTGGGAATCCCCCAGGAGTAATGAAAGGCTGTCACTTCGCAAACACAACCACCACAGAATGCAGACGGCTTGCACCGGCTCATCGGATTTGCCCATCCTAAATAGCTGAGGTTCAGAGAAACCGCTATTTTCCCCCTGCGCTGTGCACGTTTTTCCAAATCTCTGCTCGTGCTCAGTGAAACCCACGTGTCCCTCAGAGAGCCCCTTTGTCCCAGGGTGTGACGTGCGAGCACGCCTGTCCACCGCACGCACGTGTGTAAGGAGGAGACACAGGGAATGCGCAAGGACGGTAAGAAGCGGCTTGATTCTTTGGTGACGCTCTGGTGGCAAGTACATTATTTCTTGGCAACTAGCCCATCGGTTTGGGAAATAATGTCACACCATGTCCCAATAGACTCTGACACCCTGCGCCTCGCTTTGCAGGCACCATTAGGGACAGTCGCCAAGCACCGGCTGCCTCTCCCAAGCATGCACCCCTTTCTTTGGAATCCTGGAGCGCCCCTAGACTAGTCTGCCCTTCTCCAGAGAGACACATTTCTCACTCCCCTGCAGACCCTGATTCAAAGCTAAAATTAACGCAGGCAGGCAATTCAGGGATTTTAGAAAACTTCCTTAAAGATGACAGCGCAGGTGATGTTTGAGCCCTCCGAGGTGTCTGCGTGCCGCCTTGTTAAATTAAACACACCTGGTTTATTTGTACACTGTATCCAACGGCTTACAGATTAGGGTTCTAGAAACAATACATGTCTTATAGCAAAAAATATACATATAATAATCCACCTATAGTTTATATAAATGATGAAATGTTTCTGAATATATCTATGTCTCTATATATGTACACATATGTACTCCGTGCGAGCGTGTTTGCAGGGTCGGCACGCAGATGCCGCAGTCCTTCATCGGCTCCTCCACCTCAGTGTCAACAACGCCAGGGTTCAAAGTCTCAAGCTGCTGAGCAAGGGTCACCGCTGAGGACAAAGGACTGGCTTGATGCACCTCCCCCGGTGAAGGACCAAGTTGGCAGGGCAGTGGCAGCCTGCCACGCACGGCTTATTGCACGGGCCGATCTCGTTCCAGTTGTCGCAGGTCTTGGCGCACCCCGGGCCACAGGTGTCGTACACGGCCCCGTGCTTGCACTGGGTGGCTGCAAGAAAGGAGGAGGCAAAGGTGAGATGTGGCGAAGTGGCCTCGCCAATTCGCCCACGGCCTGAGGCCACTCTGCGGGCTCCTGCCACTCCCTGCAGAGGCCTGGCCACCGCACAGGTTCCTTCCTGCAGTTTAACAAAGGAAGGACAAACACCCAGCGGTCCTTGAACCATTGGGAACCGAGGGAGGCACATGCACCGAGAGAAGTGACATCAAAGACCCACCTGCTGGGCCAGTGAACTTGGAAATAAAGTGAAATGAAAGCTTTTTGTGCCCAGATAAGACAAACTGCACATTAGTACAGCTACCCCAAAAGATATGTAAGGTTGTTTAGTTACTGATAATAGTGTGAAAGATTAATTCCAGAGAGTCCTTCAAGCAACTGCGCTGTGATGAATATGAACATTTGTGCAACCACGCCAGTATTTAAATACACACAGTTATACATGTAGGAGAGAACCTGTCAAGGATATTGGAAATGTGGTACACGTTTTAATCATATTTTAATTATGTGTTGAATTAATCAATTTGAGGCAAGTTAGAGCAAAAGTAAAGCCAAATATATCTGATAACAGCTCAATATCCAAAATTTATATAGAACTCATACAACTCAATAACACCAAGAAAAAAACCCTAAAAAAAAACCAACTCAAACAATCCAATTGAAAAATAGGCAAACGACCAGAATAGACACTTGTCCAAAGAGGACATACAGACAGCCAAATAAAAAAAAATGCTCAATATCATTAATTAGCAGAGAAATGCAAATTAAAACCACAATAAGATATCACCTCATACCTATCAGAATGGCTATGATCAATAAATCAACTCACAACAAGTGCTGGTGCGGATGTGGAGAAAGGGGACCCCTCCCCCTTCTCAGCTGGTTAGAGCGCCGCCCTGATACACAGAGGATGCGGGTCTGATCACCAGCTGGGCACACCCGAGATGGTTCTTGGATGCATGAGTGGGTGAAACAACAAACTGATGCCTCTCTCTCTCTCTCTCCCTCTTTCTCTCTCTAATATCAGTAACTTTTTTTTAAAATGTACCCTCAGATACTGTTGATAGGAATGCAGATTGGTGCAGCCACTGTGAAAATCATGATGGAGGCTCCTAAAGACATTTGAAAATGCAACTGTCTTATGACCCAGCAATTGCACTTCTGAGTACACACACGAAGAAACCCCAAACACTAATTTGAAGGGATCTATGGACCCCCATATTCACTGCAGCGCTATTTACAATAGCCAAGATAGGAAAGCCACACAAGTGCCCCTCAATAGATGAGCTGATATAACGCTGTGGTATATACAATGGAGTATTACTGCAAAATAAGCCAAAAATGAAATCTTTCTATTTCCAACAGCATGGCTAGAGCTAGAGGGTATTATGCTCAGTGAAATAAGTCGGGCAGAGAAAGACAAATGCCATATGATTTCACTTATATGTGGAACCTAAAGAACATAATAAATGAACAAACAAAACAGAAACAGACTCATAGACACAGAGAACAGACTGATGATTGCCAGAGGGGAGGGGGGCTGGGGACTGGGTGAGAAAGGTAAGGGAGTTAAAAACTGCAATTTGGTGGTTACGAAATAGTCACGGGGATGTAGAGTACAGCTTAGGGAATACAGTCAGTAGTACTGTGATAACTGTGTACGGTGCCCAGTGGGGACCAGAAGCACCAGGGGGGCACCACTTCATGAGGTCTGATCGTCTCACCACTATGCTGCACACCCGAAACTGAAACAAAATATACTGCATGTAAACTCTAATTGAAAATAAAATTTTAAAACAGAATAAAGCCAAATAGGGGAAAATCAGATGTGTCAAAATGTAGCTTTATTCAGTTGTTTTGGCTTTTGATAATCTTACTCTATCCCTTAGGCTACTAGGAGCCTCTCGCAGCCCAGTGAGTCCTGAACACATGTCCTTTGTCCTGACATAGTGCCACTTTCTAGTTCGGTGAATGTCACCATAATTCATCCTGTCTTGTCCTCTTTTAGACTCAGTTTCCCGCCTTCTCTCCAGCTTCTCTTCCTGCAGAAGACGGCCCTGGCCTGGGCACTCGGAGCCCCTGCGGCCCACCTCTAACCCCGTGCTTACGACGTGAAATGATAGTAACCAGTCTCCCTGTCCTCTCCCCCCAACTCAGTCGGGAAAAGTCAGCTCTGTTTCTGCATCTTCAGGAGCAGGCGGCGTTGAGCATGCCGCAGGTGCCTGGAGAACTGCTGGGCGCCTGAATTCACAGGTAAATGAACGACTTAGTGCGTGAATCAGCCTCATCCTTCCTTGAAATCTCTTGATTTACGCTTTTCTGATAATCTTTTGACTTCTCACTGATCCCTGCAAAGTCCTTTTCTTTTTCTCTCTTCTGTGAGTAGCCGAACATCCTGCACATGGTACATGCCTGGTAATCCGGAGACATCCTAGCTGAACATCGTCATACTCACACACAATAGCACATGCCACATGCTGCAACGTGTCTACCAACCAGTGGTGTTCCAAGCTGAAAATTAGGATCCACCCCCAGGCCAATTAATTTACCAATTAATTTAGATCTTTTAAAGAGTTTATTTTTTTTAGAGAGAGGGTAACAGAGGGAGAAAGAGAGGGAGAAAAACATCAATGTGAGAGAGAGACACATCAATCGGTTGCCCCTTGTATGTGCCCTGACCAGGAATCGCACCCATGACCTTTCACTTTTCGAGATGATGCCCAATCGATTGGGCCACACCAGTCAGGGCTCATTCAGAACTTTAAAGTGGAATCAAGTTACCAGTAACTAAAAAAAAAAAGCCCTCCCACAAAGGTAATGCCGATGGGTGTTTAGGACTGAGAACAGGTTCTGATAATGACCCTCACATTCCCACTTCAGTCACTGCAGAGGCTCGTGGGTTTCTAGCACATGAGAGGGCAGCAACTGTTTCCAAAGTGGAAGTGGGTGCACAGTGGGAGCTCCTGCTCTTCCCACCCTCTTCCACCTAAATCCACTGGCGCTCTGCCCGGGTCCCAGAGCACCGGTCCTCCCTTTGATGGAGTCGGGTCATCTGCACGTGCACCTTTCTTTTTTAAGATTTAATTTATTCTTAGAGAGAGGGGGAGGAAGGGAGAAAGAGAGGGAGAGAAACATGGATGTGAGAGAGAAACATCAAGTGGTTGCCTCTCCTACGTGCCCAGCGGGGGACCTGTCCCTCAACCCAGGCATGTGTCCTGAGCGGGAGTTTAACCAGCGCCCTTTGGGTTGCGGAGACAGTGCCCCCCCCCCGCCCACTGACCCTCCCGGGTCAGGGCTGCACACGCACCCTTCACTCGCCTTCCTACTGCCTGTCCTCGCTTGCACCCACCCTCGGTTTGCCGCTCCTCTGTCGGACCCCTCTCCTCCAGGGACCTGCTTTGCTATTTGTCCTCACTGCCCGTTAATCTCCTTCTCTGTTGGCTCCAACCTCTAAACTCTAGAAATATTTCCGTATCAGTGCTCGTCTGCAACCACAGATTCCCCCCAGCCTATCAGACCTACTTGCTCCTTCCTTTTACCTGAAAACTTCATAGGAGAGTTGACAGTCGTTTGATCTGATTCCTCCGCAGGTACCTGGGGTCGGAGTCCTGTCCTCCTCACCTACCACTGTGCAGACCCCGCTCCCACCCAAGTGTTCAGCGATGACCACGTCCACGGACATACGGGCCATCCCCGTTCCCCACGGTCTCTCCACAAAACAGTTGTTCTTTCTGTGCATCTTACTTCCCTTATGGCGCTGCGCTCTCCAGGGTCTTTGGCTAACACCTTGGGAACACCTTTCCTCTCGTGAGCTTCTGTGCTTATTCCCTGACAAGTTACCTGAAAGACTCTTCCCTCTGCACTGTCTTCCCTCCCCTTCTCTCTCTCTCCCTCTCCCTCTCTCTCACACACACGCACCAGTTATTCCAGCTTCATCTCCAACTTCTAGAGAGCTCTGAACTATGTTATCATCAGTTCCGATCCTCATCACCAACTCATCATTTTCTTCGTCTCGACTCAAATGGGACCTCCTTCCAGTAGCTCCCTGGACCCCCCCTTCAGGAGGCCCCCCTCCTCTGCATCCCAGAGCACCCCTCCCGTTAGTTATCTGTTTATTTGTTTTAACCCCCCAATCACAGTGCAGCTGTAGTGCTTCACCAGAGATGCTCCCAGGGGTCTCCCGAGCATCTTCTAAAAAGACATGTATCCCTAAGCCCCATTCCCTGCAGATTCTGGCTTCGGGTCTGCGGCAGGGCCCAGGTAGCCGTGGATCACTGAGCCCCAGGAACCGCTGTGATAAGCATGGCTAGTTGAAGAGAGTGAACTGGGGACACCGGAACTCTCGGGGCCAGAGCCCTGGTCTTCCACGACTGAAGTTCTGGCACAGCGGCAAGAGCGGAGGCGCAGCTCAGTCGATGCTTCTTGTGCCCGCCGCATGATAATCTAACCTGAATGACGGCGAATCCATCACCCGCTTCCTGCTGGGATTACACTTGGCCGGCCTTGAGTTCATTTTCCACTCCGATGCTTCCAGAATGTCTCAACTTGGCCCTCCGGGTACTCTGAACCCTTCAAACCTCGCAAAGACCCCCCTTGGTATGAAAACTCAGCAAAATTTCCTCTTTCCCACTGGTGTCCTCTCCTCTCCCCTCATCGGAGGCACGGCCTCTCCCACGTCACTTCCCCTCTCCGACCTCTCCGCTTTGTTCCAGCTCTGCCACTTAACGTGCTACTGCTCTCCCGGCACATCTGACTTGGGACTGCTGAATGCCGACATTCCCTGCACAGGCAGAGAACAGAATGTAGAAAATGAAGAACTGCTAGGGGGAAAAAACTTTTTCATCATATCCTTATCCTCTCCATTTTAACTCGAATAAAATCAAGAAACTTCTATTAAGTATCTGCTGTGTAGTATCTAACTTTCATCTGACGCCAGGGAGTCAAATGCGAATCACATCATTTCCGACCTCCCGTGACAGGAGCCTGGGCTGACCACCAAACGGGTGAGCAGGTTCTTCATGAACTGCAGGCTGGACCACATCAGACAGTGAGAGCAAGGGACAGGGGAAGAACGAGAGAGGTGTCCACTCCAGGCTGAGGGGCTAGGGGTCAAGGAAGACTTCAGAGAACAGATTCACTTCAGCCTGCAAAGGTGAGCAGAAATGGTCAGACGGACAGTGGCGGGCGGGGTTCCCTGGGCAGGGCGGGCAGCCAGGGCACGGGCAGGCAGGGCTGGGGGCCATGACTGGCTGCCCTGGCCCCACCGGGGAAGGGCGTCCTGGGCTCCGTGGGAGGAAGCAGGAAGTCTGAGGGGGAGAGGGGACAGAGGCAGAGAAGCAGGCAGGGGTCGTAGGCCCGGGCACGGGGGAGGCTTAGGTTTCACTGGCTGATGATATGATTGAATTTGCCTTCAACTGGCACCTTTTGGGGGGGGGTCCTAGAGAGTTAATATTGACCTGGATGTGGGTGAGCCCTTCTGTGAATCCAATTTTTTTTTTCAGAATTACAAAGGGCCACTGATCATGTTTAAGGCATAACTATGATTCAACTGGCACATCGGCCTTTTAAAAGAATTCATTTGGCTTCAGGTTTTTACAAACCAGGAAGCGATCAGAGTTGGCTTGGCTTATTCTCCAAGGGGCACACAGAAGCTGCTGTGCAACACACACACACACACACACACACACACGCACACACACGCACACACCATCACATGTTCTTTATGTGGTAGCCCAGAAAGGCACCACATGTTTTATCAGTGAGTTCAGTGAGTGTGACTCTGTCCCCTCTGGAACTCTGCTGTCTCCATGTCCCCCTACTGGCCGCAGAAGGTCACAGTTCCAGCTTTATCTCCTTAACCCTTCCGGGGGGCACCTAGCCAGCGAAGGAAAAGCTCGGGGGGGGGGGGATGCTGCAGCCCTGGGGCGAGAACCACCCGGAGTCTGTAGACGGAGCGGGGCACACTGGCTCCCAGAGCCGGGCAGACCTCTCAGGTGCCGCAACAAGACACGCGCCACTGTGACGGTCCCAGCACCGTCCCCACCCAGGAAATCGTCACTGAAACTGCAGTGACCATTCACATCGGCGAGAGGCTGGGGCAGAAAATCTGCTCAGAGGGCAAAATAGGACGCAGGAGCAAGGTCTTAACAAAGTCACGGAGTCAGAAGGTGCCCAGTAACAGCTGCCAGTGCTAAGGAACAAAGGGATAGGAACTAGAAATATCTGTATAACACATAAATATATAGTTGTATTTGAATATATTATTCCCACAATGCTCTTGCTTATCTGTTCTCATAATGAGTACGAACAGAATCTCTAAAGCAAAGTGGCTGGCTTTAATTCCCAACTTCCTCCTTTTCTGGCTCTGTGGCTTTCAGCAAATTACTGCAATATTCTTAGCCTCAATATCCTTATCAGTAAAACGTGGGTAATAGAATGTCACCAAATACATGACAATGTGGATTTAAACTGATAAAATGTAATAAAAGCACTAATGCAGTCCTCTGGGCAAGGAGGTGCTGAGAAAATGGTAACTCTTAATGGAAGTGGTCCTTAATGGACTTGCTGCACTGCACTCGGCCACCCACGGCTAGGCTGGAGTTCCGCGGGTCCTTCCCCCCACTGCTAGTGGGCGGGGACTCCGTGTTGGTGTCACGGTACTGTCAAAATCCAGGCCCCCTGGGGAAGGCCCCTGTTCAGAGTTTCAAGCCTGGCTGGTTTCTTATTTGTTCAACTTCCCAGCTTCTCACCCTGGGAAAACTCTCTTCTCTGGGAGCTAAAAACAAGGAAAGAGTCTTCTTAGAGCCTTTGGAATTGCAGATGCATCGGAGATGAATCTACTGAGAGATGCCGCACGTCTCTGCAAATGTCTCACGTCCCGGCTGTTCATCTGCAGAAGTTCTGTGTGTGTGTGTGTGTGTGTGTGTGCGCGTGCGTGTGTGCACATGTGAGAGGTCCCCTGCAAACCACACACAAATGGGGTTATACTGCACTCAGATGGCTCTGGTGTTGTAAGTGGTAAATGGAACCTTTCAGGAGCCAGATTCCCTTTCCATTAGAAAAGTCATTTCAGCTTCTGAGACTCGGCCCCTGACATCGGGAAGCTGACACGAGATGCGTCGTTTTCAAATGCAATGCGTGCGCCGAAATGGTGCTAAATATAGCTCTGGGCCGGGAAGAGTTCAGAGATGCTGTATCTAATATGATCCTCACCACGGCTAATAAAATTAGCGAAGTTCTGCTGAGCCCGACATTTCAGGGATGGAGGACTGGGAATGGAGAAGGAGTCTCCAATACGAGAATGCAAGCTGTGCTGAAGGGACCCAGCCCCCCAAAACATCGCCCTGGCCAGGCAAACCTGCACCGATGCTTTAGGGGACAGGCGAGCCGTTCAATCTCACCTGCAGGAGCCTCCGCCCCACCTTCACGTGGGCTATTGCTATCACAGCAGTGGTCCCCAGAGAGGGGGGCAGCCTCGACCGAGAGCCGCTCATGCTGCGGAGAGTGAACTCAGACACAAGGACTGGACTGGGGTTTGCAAGGAGGGGAAGTCCGAAAGGGAAGTCCGAGGGGACAAAAGGTTTCTGGTGCTTTCCAGGGACACAGACTCGTGGCCACATCCAGGGGCAGCTGGAGGGAGCTTCGCTGACCTCCGGACACCCGTCAACCCACTCCCGCAGAACCACCCGAATACGCCTTCAAAGCAACTCGGCAGTTTTGATCCTGGCTGCGGGGCAGAACCACCTGAAAGGTGTAAAAGTCACACAAGGCCAATTGGAGGAGGACGTCTGGGCACGAGGCCCAGGAACACCTTCCTGGGTTTTTGTTGTTGTTGTTTCAAGCTCCCAAAGTGACTCCAAGGCGCAGCCAAAGGGAGACCCACTGGACCACGTGAACAAGGTGTTCACACCCCAAAAAAGCTCCCAGACCTTTCTTTTGGACCCCTCCCCCATCAGACAACTAAGACAGAGGCCATATCTCTCTTAGTCATCTCGTGTCTTGGTCCTCCGCCAACAGAGACCGTCTCGGCTGGCAGCGGGCCAACGGCCTTCTCTCCCAGTAGCCGGGCTCAGGTTCTGAGCGCCGGTGTCATGTTGCAGGCCCCAGTCTCTCCCTTCCAGCGGATCTGGCCCTTTGCAGACACACGTCTGCCAGCCCGTGAAGGAAGGCACCAGCATTCAGTCCACTCAGCTCCAGGTCGAAACACCCACAGCAGCTCCTGCTGACTGAGCATCTTCTACGAGTTGGACACTCTTCCAGACATTGCCCATCCATACCACTGATGCTGGTAACGCTGCATCGTAGATATCACCGTAAAACTCCAAAATGTATCTAGACTGTCCGCTTCTCTCCCGATAGATATGGCCTCTGTCTTCATTCGAGCCACCGGCATTGGTTTTCACCACGACTACGGCAACAGCCCCTGCCTGGTTATCTGTTTTCATCACGCTCCTCCCCCCCATCTAGTCTCCACATGGTCACCTGTACACAGGGGCCACCCTTGGAAAGCAGAAAGGGGCGTGCTAGAAGCCCACGTGGGGCTTCCACTGCTCTTGGAGTAAAAGCTGCACCCCTTCCCGAGACCTGCGAGGCCCTGCGGGATCCAGCTCCTGCTTTCACCCGTCCTCCTCTGTGTGTGCCCACTGTGCTCAGCCCTCCTCTGTGTGTGCCCACTGTGCTCAGCCCTCCTCTGTGTGTGCCCACCGTGCTCAGCCCTCCTCTGTGTGTGCCCACTGTGCTCAGCCCTCCTCTGTGTGTGCCCAACACGCTCAGCCCACGCCGGCTCCCTTCCAGCTGGACAGTATGCCGTCTTCTTCCCACCCCTGGCCACCAAATACATTTCTTCTGCAGAGAATGCCCCCCGACGCCCTGCGGTCCTTCGGAGCTGGGCCGCAATGTCACCTTCGCAGAGGAGAGCCTTCCCTCTTCGCCGTGTGAGTACCGCCCAGCCCCCTCCATGTGTTTTCCGTTGCTTTGCTCAGCTTCTTTCCTTCGCCACACGGACCGTGCTTAGCAAGGTATTTACTGTGGTGTCCGGTGTATTATTTTTGTCTGGTTCTCCCAATGGACTGCCAGCACCTCAGGGACAGGGACCATGGTTATCGAAGTCACCGAAGTCCCCCCAGTGCTTAGCACGATGCCTGGTGCTGCAGCCACTCGGTAGGAAGTGTTTCTTTGGTGAACGAGGATGTCCATCTCGTAGATATCAGAGAAGCTAGTTAACTTGCCTGAGACCAAAGAGCATAACAACTACTATGGGGCATTCTGCTGGGCTTTGCATCACAATCTCGCTCTCAAAAAGCAAATCGCACTTATCCTACGGACCTTGAATGACCAATTGCCCCGAGTCTCCTTGCTCCATGCGTGACTCAGCCCACAGCTGCGACGGCCGGTGTGCTGAGCACACCCAGCTGGGAGCTTGAGGTTCGGAGGGTTTTGTAACCGTGGAAATCCTTGAACTGCTCCAGCGTGCTTGTCCCAAAGCATTTCTCTTGAGCTCTTTCTGTTCTGCCCCAAGTGGGAAGCCCCTGTGTTTGATTAAGTGGCCATCCTTGGAGGCCTGGGTCGGGAAGCTCAGGGGGTTAGAGTGTTATCCTCCTACGCTAAGGATGCGGGTTCAATCCCCAGTCGGGGCACATACATCAGCCCATGAATGCATCAATGAGTGGAACAACAAATCAATGTTTCTGTCTCTCTCCCTCCCCACCCCTCTCTCTCCTTTCTTCTTTCTCTCTAGCATCAACCAACCAAAAAAATAAAATAAAATTTCAGTTGCCATCCTTGGGCCACAGATGGGATTTCCCTGTGGCCAGGGGGGGACGGCTGCCCCGGGCACTGACTGGGACGCCCCCGCCGGCCCCTCTCACCCGCGCAGCTCTGCTGAGGCTCCCAGTGGACGCCGATGCCCTCGCGCTGGCAGGCCCGGGCATACGCCAGGAACGACTCGCAGTAACAGTTCTTGTGGACTGGACACTCGCACATGTCTGTCACGCAGGACCTACGGGAACCAACGGAAAGGAACACATGTTTAAACATATCCAGGGTCCTGCATGTGGCTCGCGGCGAGGGCTGGGTGGGCGATGGGGGGAGCTCGGCCGGCCGCCACAGGTTGCTCTCTGAGCTTGGGGACCTAAAAACGGGGTACCAGTTCTGCATGGAACCTGCGCTGCTACCTCTGGATGTGACTAGAGGTTCCCTTTCTTCTGCAGCAGTTCCGCCCGATGGAACCTTCTAGAATGACAGACACTCTATAATCTCCACTGTCCAAGGCAGTAGCCACTGTCTGTGTGTGATTAGGGAGCGCTTGGAACACATTGACTGTCACTGAAAAACCACATTTTTTACTGGATTTAATTTGCGGGGTTTTGTTTTACACAGTTTTGTTTTTATTCAATCAAAGGAAGTCAAGGGTGTACTCACCTTGTCTGTCCCCAGCTATGAAATTTCATCTCTCCTAGACTTTGATTTGAGTTCAATTACTTAGCTATAAAGAGCCATGTGCGCCTAGGGGGGGTCACGTGCAAACGCAGCCCTTAGAACACAGCGGCCATTCGGGCGATTTCGCTTTGTGGGGAAGAGCAGGCTCTGCTCCAGTGTAACCGAAATTAGCGGCCAGCAGGATAGAAGCACAAATCCCACCGCAACATCTCGAATCTTCATCTCTTAAGGGACACCACACCCCGTTTTTAAGGCTGAGGTGTGGCAACTTCCGGATGACGCCGCACTTGCAGTGCGCTGATTCGCCTCTGGTTACGAAAGGTGAGGGGGCCCGAGCCCAGGTCCCCTGAGCTGGACTTCCCACATGGAAAGGATGCCCCAGGACGTAGACAGAACAGAACTAGGTTTCAATGCAAACAAACGCATTTTGACACGTGTCACCCTCAAAGACACAATGACGACCTTCCACCGGCATGCAATTTCACAGTTTTCAAGGTGAGTCTGTCACCGGGAGGTCAACGAGACGTCGGCGGTCTCTGATCAACGAAGAGGTCGTTTTACAGATGAGGAGATGGGCCCGGAGTCCCAAGAGTAAGTGGCAAAAGAGTGAGTTAAACTACACCTCCTGACTCGAAGACTAGCGCTTGTTTTCATCACCCCCCACACGCCACCGTCCTCACCTTTGCCTCCCAGCAAGTTCACTCGTGACAATTTTGCCTTAACATTCCTGGGAGAGGTCGCCAAGATCCATCAGACTAAACTGTCCTCACCTGGTCATACCCTTTCTCAGCAAAGCCTCCTCCTTATGGAACCTAATTCAAGGTGACAAATAACACAGACGGTCTTGAAAGGGGTCAGGACAGGATCCTCCCAGGTTAAGATGCCGCCGTTTTCTCTGGGGGGGGGGGGCATGTTGGCACACCTGCCCTGGGAGCGGCCAGCCGGCTGGGTGCGGACTCTGGTGCGCCCCCTGCTCTGAACGGGAGTGGAGGGCAGAGACCGTGTGCCCACACAGTTACTACACTGTGCTGACACTGAACTTGAACTAGGAGGGACAAAGGAGGAACAGTCTGGAAGCCAAGGAGCCTCTTCCACCTTGGCCCGTGAGAGATTAGCCGACGACGACGGACACTTCGGACACGGTTACTGGGGCAGACACGTTGATCTCTCTCCTCCCTGTGGTTGTCGGGCCGCGTTTCTTAATAGCTCTCCCCACGTGCTTTGCAGCACTCCCGTGAAATCGCGTTCACGGCCAAACCCTTTCTGGCACGGGGCACAGCGCTGCGTCTACATTCGCGTGGAGCCCCCAGGCTCCCAGGAAGGGCCACGTGAAGCCGGCCCTTCAAACGGCCTCTTGGTGTCTGAGCGCGAAGCCCCCTCGCCACCACTGCCCTGCCGAGCCAGTTTCCACCCCCGACTAACCCGCGCCCGGCACTGGCGCACGCGCAGACGCCACAGCCGCGGGCGGTGCCCAGGGTCCGCGCCCGAGCCTCGTCTCTGCCTCACCCCCCACCCCCAAGGTGTCTGTCCCCCTCCCTCCTTCCTGGCCCACGGGGCGGGGGGATGTCCTTCCCTGTCCCCGAGCCCTTGAGGTGACCCGGATGGAATGGCACCTGGGGGGGGGCGTGCTGGGAAAGTGACAGCATTTGTATGGGAAAGAGCCAGTCTCTCCAGAGTAGATGCGTCCTCTGACCTGAGAACACATCTCATGGAATCCTGCGGAACTGTGCGGGCAAGTCAATGCACAGAATTTAATTTGAGTGAAAGGATGACTGGTGGATGTGTTCCTTTTTTTCCTCTTTGTTTCTACTGGTTGTCTCATGGAGCTATTTGTACAATTTAAAATAAATGGGGGACAGCTGAATCCAACTCCTCAAGGTTGCGGACAGAGAATGTTTCAGACTCACGTTTAGGAATCATTCGGTACATGCCCCCAGCCTACCCCACCCAGACCACCTGCGTGTGCCCTCAGACACAATCCCCACTCTCGCCCTTGAACACTGAGAAGACTGGAACTTATCTGATTACTTGGCACCCGTGAGGAGCAGCATTTGAGGCAAAGACGTTTGCCAAAGACCTCCCTTCACTTGAAGCATTTCTCTATTTTTGAAGGCTGGAATGATGTATTTTGTCAGAGAAGTTAAAACAACAAGATGTCTTTCTTCACTTGTCAAGTTGATGACTTTCACACAGCATTTTTCCCAGGGCCTGGGAGAGAATGTAGAGACGGACGGTCCAAACGGCGCTGGCAGAGGGTAAAATTGCTGGCACCACGGCAAGCATGTCGCTACAGGCAGCCTTGAACGGGCGTCTGTCTGTCCCACACAGCCAGGGGCACGGGGCAGGTCTCGCCACCTGGCAGACAGGGACGCTGAGGCTCGGAGCTGCTGCCACCTTGCCCAAGGTCACGTGGCCGATGACAGGTGCAGACCGCAAAACCAGGACGCTAACGCTGGGCTTTCTCATCTCCACACCCGTAACAACTCATAACACTCACAACAACGACATCAGGCCGTCTTTCTCGAGAACAACCGGGCAGTACTTACGAAGAGCCCCGAGAAGGTTCTTGTGCTGTGACTGGGAAACCCTGGCCTAAAGAAGCAGTGAAGCACACGGGGAAAGATTATACATGCGGGTCCTCCTCACAGTGCTATTTAAAATGAAAAAAAAACCACAACAAATTGTCTGCCGTGGGGGTCTAGTTCAGTACATGTAGGTGGCCTCTACTGAGACACTCCACAGACGTCACAACGATATTTTGGGAACATCTTTTAAAGTATGAAGACACACGAAGGAAGGATTCATTGGAAAAAAGCAAATCTGTGCGTTCATATCGTGTGGTCAGCCACAGAAAACAGCGAAAAGCAACTACATCTGTGTCCACAGGCTCGCCACAGACAGCTGTGAGTGGGGGGCCGCGGCCGGCGCCTCTGTTTTCTTCTGATCTGCACTTTCTGCAGCAAACACACGTCACCCTCTAACCATGTAAGTCACAGGGTAGCTGAGAACCGGTGCCGTGAAGGTTGTGGCTCCTGTTAATACTGAAGTCGAACTCGGGCACTGGAGTGAGGAAGTAAGGCACACAGACTGGGAGGAAATTAGGGTTCTCATCTGTGCGTCTCAGTGAACGTTTCTTCGGCTGCTGTCCCCACGGTCCGTGTCCCGGAGGCTGCCCGACAGAGGCTATGCGTGGCTCAGACTTCACCTCTGGGTCCACGGAGGCTGTGAACTTGACATCGGACAGATGGAAGGGGTAATGGGATAATTATGCATGCTTCTGCTGGTTACAGAGAAATGTATTAAGAGATAAAAATAAATACATCCTCCAGTGCCCTTCACATTTCAGGGAGAGGCAAAACTAGTATTATTCAAATGTTCAATTTGTGTTTTGCACACTGGCTAATTCAGTAGGAGGAGGCCCTAATCTATGGCACGGTGGAGTCGCGTTTTTATACGCTAACGGAAGATGGTCGTCCTTTCCTGCGTCCATGTGCACCAGTGCTGTGCACTTATATTCCTTTTATAAAGTAGCGGAATGGTATCACGTTTAGGCGTCACGGAGATTTGTGGCTTCAGTTTCTCTGCCTCCACCACGTTATTCTGTCACTTAGGTTCCGTGGGACGGTGACTTCCCACTCAGGAGACACAGGTGTTTGTTGCTCCAGTGGGAAACGTGGGCTGCAGTACATCGCAGCTCCTCCAGGAGGCGCCTGCCGGTAAGAGCGCCGGCCCAGGGCCACCCTTCGTGGCATCCTGTCCTTCTCAGGGGCTGCTAATTCCTGTAGCTGGACCGGGCCTGCTGACTGCCTGGCCTGCTCCTGGCACCTTCCCGACAGCAGAGAGGTGCGGGCTGGACTCACGTTCTGTGGGGTCACACACCTGCTTCTCGAGGACGTATGGAACGAGGGTGCAGAGAGCTCACGTAGGGTCCCAGAGTGCTGCGCCATGGTGGCAGCACGGCGTCACACACCAACAGCCCCCTTCACTCATTGTTGTACGCATGCGGGTCACAGTCCAAGAAGACCTTTCCGCAGAGCACCCAGCGCGGAGCTGGTGTCTGACCCAACCTGTGGTCGGTTCCCTTCCTGAAATGCAACTTATCACACTGCGTCTGCAGGGGAGCCCCAAACATCTGCTTCCCCCCATCGAGTTCCAATCACGGCTTCCTGTCAAGCTCCAAGACCGTAGCCACTATCCACACGGAGCCATGTAAATGGAATGTTGTGAATGACAGTTAAATCACATTCACATGCACTTCCCGCAGCCACACCAGCCACATTTTAGGTGTTCAATGGCCACATGTGGCTGGTGGCCACGACACCGAACAGCGATGACTGACAGCTGGTCCATCACTGCAGAAAGTTCTGTTGGACCTTGGTATTAAGAGTGTGGCCCCATCTATATTGGGAAAGCATTCCTGGGCTCCCCAGAGGGATTTTGGGGTGTAGGGAGATTAAGATCAAGCTCAGTCCTGCTTTCTTGCTGGGCACCTACAGAGAAAGATCAAATGCCTTGGCATCACGTTCAAGGTCCCTCGCAGTCCAGGTCATGCCGGTTCCT